TGGTTGAGCCAAGGAGTTTTACAACTATTCTAATTAACCCTCAACAACCTACACTTGAAAGATCACTCACCCAATTAAGAACTATTTTATACAAATGAGGCAACCTTCACCAAGGTTTTACCACTCCAAGTGATAGGTTCACCTTCACCAAGGTTTTACTCCTCCTAGAGAGCAACCTTCACTTGAGCAACCTCACAACCCAACTTTCCCAACCCCTTATACAACCAACAAAGAATCTTTCTACTCAAAAATCTCACTTGTAAGCTTGTATTTTGTGTTGGCAAAAGTCTCTAGTCTTCTTGTGCTTTGGGGTTTTTATAGAATGTGAGAAATGGTTCCAAAAGACTCTCCAACGGTCAAATATTAAATGCTGTCAAAACTAGCCGTTGGCCTGTCGGACGTCCGACAGGTGCCTGTCGGACGTCCGAACCACCTGTCGGACGTCCGAACCCTGCGTCCGAACGTAGGCAGAGAGTCATCAAATCTTTGCGAAATTTCTCGGACGTCCGATGCGATCGATGTGCGTCCGAGGCGTGCGTCCGATCCTTCCGGACGTCCGATGCTTCCTCACGAGCGTCCGACAGAGTTTCCTTCTTGATGTTCTTCATCCTTTCGGACGTCCGATAGCGTCCGACATGAGTGCCCTGTTTTTGCTTCTTCTTTTATGCCACAAGAATCTGTTCTAACAAATTACTCACATAAAAACATTAGCCCAAATCTACATTTTGGTTTGTTAATCATCAAAACCAAGGATTGATCGACCAAGGTCAACACGCTCAATGAAATCGACAATTAGTTCATCCTTCCATTGGCATGCATTCGAGAGTTCAGTCATGTTAACAGTCAGTCTCATACTATAAAAGTGATTCAAAAATTCTTATTCTAACTACTTCCAACTATCAATGGAACTAGGTTCAAGATCAGCATACGAATTAAAGGCATTACCCTTTAATGAACGAAAGAATTGCTTGACAAGCAAATTGCCATCAGTGCTTGCATTATTACACGTCTATACAAAGTGTGCAATGTGTTGCTTAGAATTGCCTTGCCATCAAATTGTTGGAACTTTGGAGATTGGTAACCGTCAAGCATTTTTAGACCATAAACTCTTGCAGTGTATGGTTTGGCATAAATGTTAAATATCTTAGTGACCCCAACAACTTTTTCTCTAATTGTGCCTTCAATGAACTCCTTAAGAGTGTTAACATGAACTGTGCCATTAGGAGAGACTGAAATTTCCTTCATCAAGTGGGACTTTGAAACATCCTTTTTCTCAACTTTTGAAGATATTTCAGCCTCATCATTCATCTTGAATTGCTACTTAGGCGTGTTTGAACCATTCTTACTTATGTGCTCCAACATGTCCATTAACTTGGCAATCTGAGCATCTTGGTTTTGCACATGAATTGCTAGCCCTTCAACAATTTTGATCAAATTAGAAATTTGGTTTTCAACAATTGTAGTGCTCGTCTTCATCATAGGCATCACCACAAAACTAGTTGAGTCATCGAAATTTGAGTCATGGTCATCCTCGTCACTAGGTAATACTTCAAGATTCTCCTCTTGGATGGCAGCAACAACTTTTTTAGTTTTTTGTGCAAAGGCCTTTGTCTTGGTCATTGTCATGGGACCAACGTCTTATGCCTCTTTATTTCTAGGAGTAAAAAATATTGAATCTTCAAGGCCGATAATTATCTTCTTTGAATCCATTAGTCATGTCTTAAAATAAGAACTCGTAGGAAGAGAAGAGATGAGAGGTAGAGATTGTTCCACCGGTCATGTTAGAAATTTGTAAACACAAATTTCATTGCCTAAAATAAGAGACAAGAAAATTTGCAGAAAAGATCAAATATATTAAATCAAATAATAAGAGAGTTGCAATTTCTGAAAATTCTAAAATTAAAGAAATTAATCCCCTGATTCTTCCCTTCAAATGACTTCAATTGAAGGGTCGAAAGACTTATTCTCCGACCAAGTAGGTGTTTCCTATGATTTAGGCATAGAAAACGGATGATATGGTTATGATGTTAAATACTTGAATTTTTAAGTTTTTAACACGAATAGAAGGAGGATTTATTTAGCTTGATTATGATTTACATTTGAGGGAAAAAACTCTTGAGAATTTGACAGAGTTTTTTCAAAATTTAGGGATTTCAATGTGTCCTGATTTGAGAGATGACCTCGATTTATAACCAAAATATATAGGTTATGTCTTCAAGAAAACCCTTCAAATCTTTCTGCATTTTGGATAATTTGCAATTCAAGAAACCCATTTAATTGGGCTTAAATAGTGGACCGACCCAAATAGTCCATGGTAAATTAATAAATCAATTAATCTACTTTAGTTTAAGTGGGTCACAAATTTAATTTAGTTTAATTTAATAGCCCATATAATATTGGCCCAATTTGTCAGTCAAAAACATAATGAACTTCTATGATTTAATTTAATTTAATCAAGATCAATTTAATTTATTTAATCTTGATTAAATAAAATTTCTTTGTCGACAATGTTGTTTGCTAAATTAGGAAAACAAATACAAGTTGCTCTTAGGGGTTAGCAGTGAACCGAATACCACTCTTTCAACATCGATTCTGGTAACTAATCACCACTTGCTAAAAGGAGAAGAGGCTGCTAGATTTGGGCCTCCGCAATTGTGTTTATTTCCCATTTTAAGTGGTTACAAATCTTACACTTTTATAATACACTGAAATGAAATATATATATTCACATTTTTCATCTTGGTTCTTAATTAACTAAACATTCAATGGTATGAAACCGTTAAGAAATTAACCACTAAAGTACAAAACCATTTTCTCGAATGCAATTTTTTCCCCTTTTTATGTGAGAAAATGTTTTTTGCTCGATTTTAAAAGTAAAAAAGCAATAGCCACCCCGGTTGTGATTTAATTAGTTCATTCCTCATGAAACAGGACAACAATAGTATTGAGGCCATGGTGGCTCAATTGAATTCACGAGAAGCAAAGTTGCATTGGCTGAATGTTTGAGCCACAAATTCAGACCAGGTTTCCTAGAGCAAGGGCATAGGCGGTTCAGTGGCAATAGAATTTTGCTAGCATAGCAAAAATTCGAAATGTAAGGTTCAAATAATGTTACATACTTCTAACATAACTAGTATATACGATCCATATGAACAATAAATTATTATAACATCTCTATTATGAAAGCATTTTTATACCGTTCAAAAATGGTTTTACTAATGGTTGTTCTTGCCCCATTCCCGGTTTACTAACATCAACAAAATCCACATAGTACCTAAACAAGTCCACGCTTCAAAACGAACAACAATGAAAAGAAGCTCCATAGTACACTCCAGGATACAACACTAATAATAACGGTCTGGGCGTTTTACTTGAGCTCATGGTCTAGTCCGCTGCAGACAAGAAACGTTTTTGGCAAAAGGAACCAAGGAAAGGAGGCTACTTGCTAATCAAATTCTCTCATGTTCCTTGAGGGACTTTTGTACACTATATATAGAACAAATTCTTTCCAAATTTTGGTTTCAAGCATTCGCTGTTTCCACCATCAAAATTTGTTTTGGACTCAATACACCCCGACAGTATCAATTACTCTATATTGTACCTCAAACTTTTCTTTTAGACACTTTGACCTGAACTCTACAATTACTAATTAACTCCAATCAGTATATATTGTACCACTTGTTATGTGTGGTTTTGCCCCACATTAGTTGTTTTAATAAGGAGTTTTCCTCTTTGTTGGTTATAAATGGAGCGCGTCTTTGGTGAGAAGTTCACCAAATCAAGGGAGTTTTTAGTGGGTTATTTAGGCTTTTGGATCATTAAACATTTTGTAGTAAAATATTTTGGGCTCTATTGAGTTTTAAAGTTTTTGTACCCAGCTCTTTTATATAGTGAAATTCTGCTTCTCCTCCACTCGTAGACGTAGTTCAATTTGATGACCGAGTCACAAACCTTTCATCAATTTCTTGGGACTGGACCTGACACCTCCTACTTGTATGTTGGTAGTGTATTGCGCAAGTTGGGTATGTGTTGGAGCATAAATTTGTTCGTATGTTGGTAGTGTATTGTGCAAGTCGAGTGTGTTTTAGAGATTAAGCTATGTGTTGAAGTTAGGACTGTCAATGAGGTTGGACCAACTCAAGTTCAGTTTGTTTAGTCCGAGAAAAAGTCCATGAGTCAGTTAAAAAAGGCATGCCTCTTTTAACTGTAACAAGTTTCCCTTCCTCATCAGAATTTGTGAATTTTTAGCTTTTTAAACCAAAACAAGTCAGAGCCTGAGCAGACATTGAACATATATGTTCTACCCCGGCTTGTTACGATAAGAGCTATTTGGAATAGAAACTTGCAGAGATTTCAAAACACTTTTTCTTCTAATATTTTTATTTATTTGAATTAATTTTTAATTTCAGATACATTGAATTTTAAAATTTTTCAAATAATCTTCAATCCATTACTTTCTTATTTTATCATGAATTGTGCCTTAAGACACATTCACGTGTACAATTCAAGAAATATAAATATTGACACTAATTGTAATACTTCAATTTCAGGGTTCTAAAATAATTAACTCGTGTAAGGTTATTGATTGAAGGATTAAATACTCACTTAAAATATTTACATGAGAGAGGAGAAAATAAATAATGCATACTATTATTGAAATTTCAAATAATGGAAGAAAATCGCAACAGACACATTTTATAAAAAAAAAAAAAGTACCTCAACCAATGCCCTATTTATAACTTACAAAGACTTTTAAAATAAGAAATTACTCATACAAAAAATTATTAAATAAAACAGAAACTCCTAAATAACACTACATAAAACTTGACTGCAATAAAATTAGTAAATAAATAAATAGAAACTTCTAGAGCAGGTTTGTTTTGCCAACAAAGATGACGTTCTTCAGCAACCAATTCTTCTTTCCAATTCTTATTCCTTTTATTGGTTATTTAATTTATTGTACGTTCAATCTTTGTTTTGCTCCTAAAGCAAAATATGACTTATAGATCCAATCCGGATCCATGGAATTTCTGTGCAGTGATCTGCTCTAGCCGCTCTGCCATCTCACTTGTAAGATAATTTTTCCAATCTCCAACCTTACCGTTACGAAAAAATACCTGATTCCTAAGAATCCACCAGGTCTCGCTCTTGTTCACCTCCAAATTTCTCAAGTGATCAAAACTACAGAGCCCTAAAATCTCATCAACCGCTCCTGCTGTCTCTTCCTCCTGAGAAATTGGACAACCCAAGAACTGGGCAAGAAGTTTCAGGTAAAATGCTGGTTCTTGTGTCATTTGTTCATACTTCAGAAAAAGTACTTTTCGGGACTTGTCCAAGCTTGCTTTCCAGTAATCTAAAACATGATCCCAAACAGTCGTCCAGACATGCTCACTCCCTTACAAAACAAGTCAAAAAATTCTTCAAAAGCAGTCTCAGTACTCCCCAGCTTATTAGTGAAGTGTTAATACGAGACAAAAACATCCTTAATGTTTCTGCATAGATAGACAATCTTGCAACCCGAATTCATCACTGATTCAGGCAGTTGCACAAGCGAGCAGTGGGTTCCAAGCAGTCTTCTTGAATTTTGGAAATATTGTCAGAAAGAATATTCAGGGTCCTGTTTATCATGAGAGAGAGCATAAAATTCCAGTTGTGCCAGAGAAAACATGAGGATTTTGGTTGAGCAAAGGGTGGCTTGGGTTGATGGGATGAATATTTCGGTTCATCAAGGCGAATGCGAGGGCCTTCAGCCATGTGGTGCCCTACTAGAGAGTGGTGATTAGTAGGACATTACTGTCTCGAGCCTGGAATTGCGTTTGGACTTCAACGAGCCCTGGCAACTGGTTAGTAGTAAACCAAAAGCCATTGTACTTGTACGGATAAGAAGAACCTTGTCGTCTCTCTCTGGGGAGAGTAGAATACAGGTTCTTGCACTGCTCTTGCATTAGTTCCTCTACTTCTGAATCTTCTGAGAAAGGAACTTTGAAGGAGGATGGAGTTGCAGACATATTATTGCCTTTAGGATTGTTATTGAATATACTTGATTGTTGCTCAGCTCTCAAGTCCCTCGCTCGGTTCTTCTATAGACATAGTGTAGGGGCAGTAGGAGCTATTGACCCCACTGAAATTTATAATGTATATGCATAATTTTATAAGTTTATCCCCGTATTTAAAGTTTATTATCTCATTACCAACAGTTAATATTCTTTGAATGGTTAGACCTTGATCTCTAAAGATGTATTCATAAACTGGATTATAAACTTGTGGGCATGTCTCACACAATATATATATATATATATATATATATATATATATATATATATATATATATATATATATATATATAGATGAGGGTGTGTATTATGGTCTTTTAATTTCTTATCCAGCTATTATACAAATTAATCATTCTTAATTAACTTAACTTACAAGTAAAAAATTCACCAATCCCGAACTATGACATTATCAATGACATACCAATGCACTTGAATCCAATATTTTTTTAATGTTATTGTTTTGCCAATTTTTCCTTACTAAATCAACACACTTGTCAATAAAAAGATAATTAGTTTTACCTTTTACACTTGGATTAAAACCAATCAAGACACAACTTTATTATTTATTATTTTACCATTAAAGATAGAGAAAACTTATTAGGGACTCGCGAGATTAGAAGTGACAAAATACTTTATAGCTATTTGAGGAAATAAACCTTTATTGAGATTTTAGAGAAGAAATGGAGAAACCCAAAAAAGGATGGATTAGTAAGAATATTATTATTGTTTCCCAATTAGCACTCCAAATCTCCAAGCAAGAATTCTTTCTACTATTTAGAAATTTACTTGGTTATGTCTTCAATAAAATTTTGTAAATTGTTGATTTTTATTCACAAACATATGGTTGAGTTATAGTTTTATAGGGTAGTTTTTGGGAAGAAATTTTTAAATCATTTATAGTTCGTAGTTCGCACTTGCATTTGATGGTTTATGTGATGAAATTATATATATTTTTTTCATAGTTCATTTGTGAATTAATATCTAGTTCGATATTTAATTTTAACCAATTACGAAGAGATATTACAAAAGGAAGATTATGATTGAAGAACGATTTAATGTTGAAGTTGATGATAATGATCATGGAAAAGATCATTCAAAAAAAATTAGGTGAAGGTTAATTTTTAGGATTTATCTATTAATTTAGGATTGAGGAAAAATTGTGTTAATTATCACCCTAAATTTGCCCCCACTGAATTAAGTTTCTAACTCTACCCCTACCTAACTCCAAAATCTACATCACAAACTCGCCAACTTTGCTAGTGCACGACAGCGTATACTGAGTGCAGAGGCCCCGTCCTGGGCCTGGACACGTGGCAGCCCAGGCTTGGCCGAGCTGGGCCTCAGCCCCAGGCCCTTGGCAGCCATCCTGGGCCGCGCTGCTAGGGCTCCTGGAGGGGGCGAGAATCCATCCCGAAGAGGTCGGGGATAATCCCCTTGAGTGCGGGATAGGGGCTATTCTGGGCAGGTCCCGGAACGTGTGGAGGTCGGACTCCCCTAGCAGGTATAAAAGGTAACACACGTCGACTGTACAAGGTACGCTCACTATTGGCAAATTACACCTGATCGTCTCTACTTCCCGTGAACCCTACTCACCGGAAAACTAACTTGACCATCGGAGTGCCCTCGGGGACAACCCTCGTGCCCCCCTTGCTAGCTCATTCTTATCTGTTTTGCAGGCTTAGGACCAGCTCTTCCATCAGCACGCCGAACTAGTCGAATCAGCTCGGTCCGGGGAAGTTCAGCGCTTCTTCACTGAGCTAATTCTAAAATCTACATCGCAGACTCGCCAACTTTCCTTGTGCACAACAACGTATTTTGAGCTCGTGGTGCTTCAAATCGATGGAACGATTGAACCACAAAATAGAGCAGATCTTCTACAGACATCAAGGAAATCCGTGTTTTTTTACCTTTTACCCTCCTACTCTTCCTCGGAAGAGGTGAATTCTTGGTGAACGAGTCAAGGTCACCAAAAAACGATATCACCTGTAAAATTTTAAGTGACCGGGGCTCTGTCCCCTAGTCTCATTCCAATGCTGAAGTCAGAGGTAGTTCGGAAGTTGAATGTACGGATTAGATTGCATATCTCATTTGGAAGTGGTAGATGGGTATTTATAATAGATGAATCTATAGATAGAATGATGAGATCTACCCACTGTTAGCCATCATGAGGTCACTTAAGGCGGCGGTGCCAGTTACAGGTCTGAGCAGTATGGTGACTGGTAGTCACATCACTCCATCAATCACAAGTCACCCACACAGCTGAGATGTCGGTTGTCTTGGACAGAGGAGGTGATGAGGTGAAACTTCTCTTCAAGGTGATTTCGCTAATCAAGTCGACTGAGAATGTCCAAGACGAGGTACCTCTTGTAAAAAGGGCGTGGATGGGATTGACCAAGCCCAAACAGGCCAAGATGTCCACTGACGGGAATTTTACATACGTACAAGTTAAAAAAAAATCGAATTACACCCGTTCACTGCAAGTATATAGGTCAACCAGTAGTTTATGGTATATATCGGGTCGATCCCACAGGGAAGAGTGAACAATTACTGGTATTACTAAAGTTTCTATATTATTTAGACTATCAATGAATTATAACAAATTTAACCTACTGAAATTATACAAAATAACAAATAAAAACTCCTTAGGTTGTGGTATCCTTAACTACTCATGCAAGTGCTATATTTGGATTATTGAGTACTACATCTAGGCTAGTTATGATGTAATTTCCTTAAACATGTGAAACCTACTTTCGTAGTGAATCAACTATACTCATAACTAATCCATATCTATTTTTATGGTTATGAAATTAGCTACAGGTTCATTTTTTCAATGAAATTACATGAAATGAATCACTAAAAACCACATAGGTGCACCTCTACTTTCGTGAGTGTACTCCCTATGTTTAGTACTTCTTGAACTAGTGTTAAATCTCAATTGTCATTGCAGAAACAACACCTTAGATAATCACAATCAATGGTACCAGATTAATCATGATTTAAAGAGCCAAAGTGCTAAATAATTTGCTCAAATCATAGCAATCAAATAACCAAATAATAAACACTAACAATTATAGAAAGTTCAACCAAACCCAAGGCATAAACTTCAAATACACATATTGAACACAAAATCCAGAACGTGTATATTAACTAAACTTGGAATCAAGTACAAAAGATAAAGAGTTTGGAAGGAATACAACCCTTGTCACGTGAGTTTTCTTCCTTGCCTTCTTCATCCTCCATCTTCTTCTTAATCTAGCTAATAACGAGAAAGGATGAACTACTAGCTAAACTAAACTAACCTACTACTAAGAAGATGAAAGAACTACATTTTTGCAGACCAAGTTTCTCCCGTATCTCTCTCTTCTTCTTGCTTTATCATCTCCATCTTTTTTTTTTCTCTTGCAATGAATTTGGCTATTTGAAGATGAAAGTTGGTCAAGAAATGAGGCCTCCACCCTCCTTTTACAGCTGGGAATGTTTCTCACAGCTGGGAATTGTGTTTGAATTATTTGCCATGTGGATAATTCCTCCCCCACACTTAAACTTCACATTGTCCTCAATGTGAGAAAAGGAAAATAAATAAAGAGTAAAAGAAAATACTCATATGAACTTGCGCAATCCAAATCCATGCCCAAATGATGAATTTCCAACCTTATTTGGAAAAGAATTGAGAGTTTAATTATTGCACCCTGGAAAAAGACAAAATCAAAACAAATCAACTTCTTAAAAATAAAAGGTTGCAATCAACAAAAACATGCAATTGAAGGAAAAAGGAAAAATGATCAAGCATGTAGAACCATACAATGTTCAAGGGATAAAAACATGAAATAAGCTAATCTTTACTAGTCAAATATAGGCATTAGTGTCCAAAGCAAAGGGAAGCTAATTTCACACTAAAAATCCACAATCTTGAACAAAATAAGTTCCATTTATACATTTTGTCATCAATGATCAAATCCCCGCAAGTACAAAAGTAATCTCAAAATGGAGGCAAACACACCAAACCAAAATATAAATGACCTTTGTGAGAATTCATGAAATACTAAAAACTATTGAACCACAAAAATTGTAAGTGCATTTATGAATTTCATCAATTAAGGTCATCTTCAATTCACCTATTCTTTTAGAATTACCTAAGAATTCACGAAATCATTCAATCAAGCACCTTTTCATTCATTACATAATCTAAATTACTCACATAAATATAAAAAACTCCCACTAAGCTAATTAAAATGCTACATTTGACTACTTAATATGCAACTTCGTCATCAAGCCAAATTAAGTATAAAACTAGCAAGAATTCACCAAATAAGTACAATAAATGCAAATCACAAAATATAGTTATCACTAACAATCACCAATAGCATCAATAAGCTCAAATAAATGCACCTAACTTCACATATTAAAAATTGCCTAAAAATAGAAAATATTCAATCATGGCAAAATTCAAATAACAAAGTTAGGTGAAGAATTGTTACCTCAAGGTGGTGTGGTGATGTTTAGAGATGAATATGATGTGAAAACCCCCAAGAAACTTACTCCAATTTGACTTCAATTGAGTGATTTCAAGAAGGTAGAACCCTAACTAATGGTAAGTTTGAAACTACTTTAGAATTGTTTTTGAAAGAATATGAACTATGAAATTCACTCTAGAGGATAGGAGAAAGTGATTTGGTGAAGGTTATTTGAAGATTAAATGGTGAAAAGTGGTGTTTTAGTGAGTGGTGTGTGTTTGAGGTGTTAGTGTGTGAGTTGGGTTGAAGAAGAAGGGAGAAAAATTGTGAGGAATCCGTGAAACGGATTCATCTTACGCTAGTTACTGTTCACAATCCGGCCAGAAATTGGAGGGATTCGTGGAGGGATTCTGGGCAGATTTTTTTTTTTTTTTAACTGTTGCATATCCGGCCAGAACTGGCCGGATTTTCGGCCGGATTCTTGGCCGGATTTGCTACAGTGGAAATTTTTTTTTTTTTACAATCCGGCCAGTTTTTGACCGGATTTTCGGCCGGATTCTGTCCAGAATGCTCGAAAAAATTTTCTTTTCTCCCCTGACTATCCAGCCTTCAATCCGGCCAAATATTGGCCGGATTTATGGCTGGATTTGCTGCAGAAAAAGCTGTTTTCTGCAGTTTTTCCTCCAAATTTGCTTGGTCAACCTTTCACATTCAACCTACTTCATGTTCTTTGAATAAAATTCAAATTTAACATGATCATGCATGAATATAACTTAAACATGAAACACTTTAAATGCATGAAATGCAGCAATTGAACATGAAAACTCCCTTTTTGCCTTAATATAAACACCTTTGCAATTGAGATCATTTGCATGAACTCTTGCCATTGCCACCTACAAAACACACAAAAACATTAATCGAACAACTAAAACTTACTAAAAACAAGCCAACATGAAGAAAAGTGGAGTTGAAAAGTGATCCAAGCCTTCTTTTTTAAAAGGATCCGAGGTCAGATCATGATGATTGAGCTCGGATCAAGAAGCTCGAAGTTTTTCTCTGATTGCAGAAGTGGATCCGAGGCCTCGGATCCATTGAATCTGCACTTATTGCAGAATTTTTGCAATTTTCAGTTTGACCTCAATTCTTCAAAATACACCCTAGATCATTTCTATGTCAAAATAAACCATTCGCGCACATGTAAAATGATCTAAACATGCATTCTAAACCTCTTTAATGCATCAAAAACCATAATTACTGAATTTGAGGTATTGAGATCTTTGATCAAACTTCGCCTTTTTTACCTCATTTGGTCACTTTTCCAAAACCTGCAAATGAAAAACAACAAAATTACTCAAACTTATACTTTAAACATAAAATCACTCCAAAGTAACACCAACTTAAACAAGCATTGGGTTGCCTCCCAATAAGCGCTTCTTTAAAGTCAATAGCTTGACTATTTCTCCTCATTTTTCATGGAGGTTTAGTTAACGAATAATCCATCATTATAGGTCGTGGTAGATCATTAAATGGTGACTTTATAGCCAAAGTCACATGATCTAATGATGTGAAAAATGAAATTGGCTTACTTATCCCAAGTGTTTCATAGATATTACCTTGAATATGCACCACTTGAGAACTTACCAAAGGAAATGTCATGAGAGTATCTTGGGCAGGAATACCTTTAGAACCTATACTTTCAATGCACTCCTCAAGAGGGGTGAAAATTGAGTCATTAAAACTCACCTCTTGAGGCTCAAAGTTAGTTCCAAAGATATTATCATGTGAAATGGATATTTGCTGATTAAAACACACTTGAGATTCATCATTTTCATCAAAATACAACCCATTTTCACATACAACATTCCCACCATTCATGCTAGGATCATTTTGCAAATTATTAGAGGAAATAAC